TAAACGCAGCTCCGGAAAAGACGCTCTTAGCAAACGGCCGTCGAAGATGAAGCCGTGCGTCCAGTTTTTGATTGCATTCCACATAATATCGATGTAGGCGAGGAGCCCATAGTGCCAACGATGCTAGAGATGTTTAGCTCGGTGGCGAAGGCTGCAGCATGGGGACTTACCGCTGGCAAAAGCGGCTAGCCGCGATATATGCTCATTTGCCAGCAGGGGGTCCGTCACATCTTCATAGTCGTTTTGAAGCCAGGCGGGCCCGGTTTGTCCTTGCCCGTAGGATATGCCAACATTAATGGCCGCAAAAAGACCCCGCCGGTGTTTGCGCATGAATGCAGGCAGCTTTGCTGCATGCCGAGCAGCAGCCATCGACTCATAAGCTTGAGCGGCAGCAGCGCGGTAGCTTTCGTCGGCAGGCTGGCCGGCCAGGACCGCAAAAACGCGGCCATCTGCATCCACCAAAGGCCGCGGGTCTCTGTGTAAGAGTTGGCTGCAGAGTCAAAGAGGAGAGTTGGAGAAAACTTACTCCCCGTTCCAACGAACCAACTCAAAGCCTCGGCCCAGGAGTTCCTCCAACGTCCTCCGCTTCTTGCTGCCGTAGGACTCAGTGGCGTGCTCGACGGTTGCCGCGTAGCCGCCATGAGCTGCCGGTAGGGTCTCGCTTTTCAGGGCAGTTGCAATGGGTGGGGGGAGGGCTTGACATATTTGTGCGACATGCTTGGTCGAATCGCGTGTCCGTCCTTTGCAATTGTGCTGGCACGTTTGCTGGATCTTCGTCGGTGAGACCCCGTCAGCCGGGGCCCCTGGGTGACGTCGTGCTTGATCCTCTTCTTGGCTGGCTCGACATCGTCCAACAAATCGAGCCCCTCTGAGGACTGCGTTGAGTCCGTGGCGATATGCTGCAGGCCGTTAGGGTGGTCCAGTGCTGGGGGAGGGGTGCTGGCCTGTGAATCGTCCTCCTCCTCCTCCTGGTCCAGTTGCATATCCGATTCCTTTGCCACCGCAGCCAGGAGGGCAGGAGTGACCGAGAAGGTGGAGGCACGTAAGAAGGAGGCGAAGACTGCCCCGCTTCGCGTCTGCAAGGAGTTAGTTTCTCCCTGTAGGGGAAGGACAATGTCTCACCGTTCGTGAGACCGGGACCCAGAGCATCGCAGAAGCTGTAAAAAAGCTCAGCATGGGTTGTTTGGCCGGTTAGGACGGAAGCGGGTGCCGCCAGCGTGGTCCAGAGTCCCAGGTTTGAGTCTTCAAGGGACGCTGGTGGCACGCCGCTTCCGCATGAGCATGAAATGACTTACGAGTCGATGGTCTTGAATGGTCTTGAGAGCGTTTGTTGACGTGACACCGTCACGTTCACGTGGACGTTACTCCTCGCCTGCTTGCATTTGCGATGGCAGGCAAACGGGCCAAGAAGGTTGTCCTCGGTGAACAGGTCGTCCTCGGTGGCCAGAACTCCAGCCACGTCCGGGTTGCCAGCAGCGGTAGTCGCTGGAAGCGTAGCTCCACCGCCAAATCGACAACAGAAACGCTCTCACAAACCCAGCTGATGCTTCGCGACCAGCGCGAGCTGGAAAAAGAGAAAGAACGGCGAGCTGGTAAGTTCTACGCTCACCTTCTTCTCCCGCCGCCGTTTCTTACTACCCTACAGCGCTGTCTGCCCAGCAACAACTGGAAGAACAACGCCAATGGGTGGACATGCCCATGGATTTGGACGACAATATTCTCACTGGTCATGTCCTCTTGGACATCAGCCATGCGGGGGAAGGGACGACTGAGGGTCTGGGAGACATCGAGGATGTAGAAGATGAATTGCTAGAAGGAATACGAGAACACAATCGGTAAGCATTCACTGTCTAATTGCCGACTTCCCCTCACAACTACCCAGCTCTCTCTTCAACCGACCTCGACGTCGCCCGTATAGGAGCAGACGCAACCGCACGCAGCTGATGATCGACGCGTTGCGACGCGAACTGGAGGGACTAACGGACAAGTATTCAGAGTGGGCCCGCGATAATGCGGAAGATGGTCTGGGTACTCTGTTTGAGTATCCAGAGGGTGTGGAAATAGAGGGATTGATGGACACTGTGGTGGTGGATTTATTCTGTGAGTCTTTTTATCCATTCGTTTGACCTTTTCCCTCATACTCTCCAGCTACTGAGCGGAAGAACATACCGATCGTCGCAAACCAAGGCACCCTCGCTGCGTCATGCGCCCGGCAAGGCCTGATAACTTCGTCGCTTCAACAATGCAACATCGTCTTCACAATACGAACTCTAGAAGTCTTTCGTCGACTGTCACTTCGTTGCCCGCGACTGGGAGTCGAAGCTTTTGTCCGAACGCTCTCCGACTTGCGTGGTGTGGCCCCACCATCTCATCTGGGCTCTCAATTCCGCTGGGCTCTAGACGTCTATCTCGCAATACGGGAGAATGTGAGGAAACGAGTTAAGGTGGCACTTGGGAGGGATTCCAAGGATTGGCAACTTCAAAATGCTTGTCCTGCCTGCCTCTACAAACTGGAGGGGGAAGAGGAGCTGGAGATACCGATCCTGCTCACAATCGACGGCAACAACTCCCTCAAACGGTTCAAACGACGCGCCGCCACAACCTACGACGAGGATGGGAAGAGTATCCCAGGAGACTCGATAGAGCGGTTTGACGACAGGCCTGCGCCGGGCGACTTCTACATTACCCCGGATGAGGTCGATATCTGGGCGAAGGATGGTATTGCATTTGTCCGAGGGGAGTTTCCAGAGGAGGACGGGATGGAGTCCATTGAAGAGGACGTTGGCACGGGTTGTGATGAGCGGTGGAAGAATCTTCGGGAAGAGGTCACCAGTCACGCCCTCGCCATGTACGACGAGACTGGAATCATGCCTGCGCTATGCAGGCATGGATTCTGCGGCACAATCGTGGACATGATCAAGAGCGGAGAAATGTACGTTGTAAATTTCCTTAACTGACACAATCCTTAACTGACACCCACACCCCAGGCAGAAGTATGGATTCGCAATTGTGCATCGACTGCTGCGAGTCTTGGGACGATTTGGGCTGGCCTACGACATCGGTTGTACATTCGGGCGTTGCCGTTCGCAAAACACCCCGCCCTGGGCCCATTAGCCCGCCAAAAAGGATTCCAATGTTTGCTGGGTGCATTCCATGGTCCCGGCCACTCCCGGCGGTGTCAAATCAAGCATCTCCCCCGATACAGAAAGGGTTTTGGATTGGAATCTCTGGAGAATTGCGAAGGATGGTTCTCAAAATCGAACGCGCTCGCTTCGACTACCAGATACGCTTCAAGGTTCCATCGGCATCAAGCCATTGTGGGGTATATAGAACATGCCAACGTAGCAGACGCGTATGGCGGCCTAGGTGAGTAAGATGTCTGGGATAACCTGCTCTTAACTCATCCATGCAATAGCTAACCTTTTGACCAACAAATACGAAGAAGCATTAAGAATCAAGCAGACAGAGTCCGCTCTTGACGAGAGCCTCAAGGCGATGGGGGTGCTGAACCGAGAAGTCCTCAATGACTGGCTGGTTCAAGAAGGCGAAGTTCTTACTGGGGCTGTCGAGGGAGCCGCCAGAGGAAACGTTGAAAATGGAGTATTACCAGGCCCTTGTCACCTTCTACAACCAACAGTAAGTGCCAGATTCATTGATTTTTCCATCTAAAAAACAGTACAGAGACAAGGTCAACGACTTGAATCAGTTAATGCCCTCAACAAGCAGCCACAGTTACACAGATGACGCTGCCGAAACACGCAAGATAGAGACTCAGCGACGTCAGGCGGGGGAGAAGCTAGCGAAATATTTGGACAACGTACACGCGCTCGAGCGGAAGCTCGATATCGACCGTCGATGGCATAGTGGTGATCCAGAGTGGGAGGAGGCTGCAAAGCTCGTGACCATGCGGCAGTTCCATCGAGCGTTGGATGAGCTAGAGGGGCTGGTTGTTGCAAGAATGTTTGAGCTGAATAAATGTCATATGGCGGGCACAGGTGAGTAAAAGAAATGGATCGGTTCCGTTCTGACTGTCTTACTCAGGTTATAAACTTCGGATGCACATTGCCAAGGCCCTTCAACGTCGGTCAAAAGCTGTTCGGGCCTCACTTGAACGGTATAATGCCGCAGCCCGGGCCCGGTCCCCTCCCAAAAAGCAGCTGTCCTGGGAAGAAGTGGTGAACTATGCGTTCATCGCCGACTTCGACCTTCTTCGGGATGGCCGGGCGGATATCCGTAATGAGCTTTGGGCTCAACCAAAAGGACGGGCAGCGATGGATGCCTACTTCAAGCTGCTGCGGGCAGAGGAGGAAATAAGGCGGTTGAATATCGAGATCCGTCGGCTGGTCACCTACATCGTCGATGAAGATGCTTTCCTTCGGCACCATGAGCAACGACTGATTGATGAGGGCAATACTGCACTAGCACACCAAGTTGCAGTTGCAAGGCAGGAGCAAGCACGTTTCAACGACCTCCATATGTGGCGGCTCCACAAGCTCAGCAGGCGTCCAGGCTTTACAGGGACCTTGCTGCCAGGGAGGAGCATTAACCGGGACCGTGATGTCCCAACCGCAATCCGTGAACCGCCAGTGGGAGCTGCTGAGGATGAGGATGATGAGGATATTAGTGATGAAGATGACGAGGACATTATTATAGAGCAGATGGAAGGACTCTTGCGGGCCACGGACGACTTATAGCCCTGTATCCCTGTACTTGTTCTTCAAAAAAGAAATACTATCCTTAACTGACATGATATCCTTAACTGACAACGGACTTGTAAGTTTTTCGCGGGAGAATGATGGCCTTGATGGCCTTGATGGGCGACGGCAGTGGACGAGGTCCGATGATGGTGGAGGTCACAGACGATCCGTCAAGATTTGCATCAATCACAGTATGATATTTCTCTGATATCTCAACAAATAAGCTGACATTAAGCCGTGCAGGGCCGGCTAGCTCAACGCCTTCTACTTAGAGGGGGCACAGCATCCCTGCCCCACCTCTTATTAGAGGAGATAGGTTGGCACGTTAGGTGTGGAGGGAGAATTGAGCCGAGGCTCAAAATTCTGCTGCTGTCGCTTTTGCGTCTGTTTCGTTGCGGGGATTTCATCCCGTCCAGAAGCTTCATGGGTGACGGCACAGCAGGAGCGTCGCATAAGGATGAGCTCGAGTATGATTCCGAACGAGCTGGTGAGGATGTGGCACGATAAGAAACGGCGCAGGGCATGAAGAAAGGTGGCTTTAGACGCTGAAGCAATGTCCATGAGGCTATGGTTATAGAAGAAACGAGCCAAAGCCACGCACGTTGGTCTCATAATCCACCCCAAATGCTTGCCCGCCTCCTCAGTTTCTCCCTCGAGATCATTATATGCGCGTCTTCCAGCGGAGTGCCACGACAAGACGATGTTTCCGTGGCCATATGAATAGCAGAAGCTTGAATCATGAAGGGTGGTAGAAGCCAAAGAGCGTTGTCTGCGTTGATCGCCCCGATCAACACCACTTGCACATGGCCACCGTTTCTAAACTTCTAAACCACTAGAACCACATAATCCATGCTCTCGCCGGTCGTTTTAATAGCGCCTTCGCTCGCCCCAGAGCTAATAGACGCTATCATCGCTTATGTAGATGATACGAGCGCGCTCAAGAAGTGCAGTCTTGTTGCCGATGTGTTTCGGCGCCCCGCCCAGCGCAAACTGTGGCGTCATGTTACAATCGAGTGCACAAATGCAGCCTCTGACGGCCCACTTCCAGATGACGCCGCTGCCCATCTAATTACATGGCCTCACCTCGCTTTGTCCACCACGACCAGCGTTAGTGCTGTCCAAATACGGATACGATACGCGATTTTGCGTATCGTACTCATATTGGTATCATATCTCGAAGGCTTTAAGCATATCATATTTGTACTGTATCATATCGGGTGTGAGCGCATACGATAAAATATATTTCAGATATATCGAAAATATATTTACTAGTTTTTCTTGGTGTGGATACTCTCGATGTAGTTAACTCCATCAGCAAGACCCGACTTCAACCACTCCTTACAGATTATGTCGATGGATGCGGTTTCCGGGGTCATTGACGTGCGCTCGTCTGTGAGTGTCTTCTTGACGCTTGAAAATAGTTGCTCACATGGAACACTCATGCCAGGAATGGCCAAGATGTCACGCGCGGCCTGGGACAATATTTTGAGTGTTCCCGCAATATTCTGCCAAGGAAATCAGCTGAAATTTGAGTTTCGCACTTCAAATCACACACCTTCCACCAAGTCAAAGGATCGTCAAAGCCATCGTCGACCGGCGAGATGTTGCCAAGGTACAAGTCGATCTCGTAGGTGCCATCCACGCGTTTCGTCGAGCTGGTGGAGCTGCTGTTCGTAGAGCCTCGATTGAGGGCCATGGCCATGGCGAAGACCCCGACTGGTTTGCTCGCTGAAGAAGTTGTCGTCGAGGTGCTATCACTCGTAGCAGCGTCCGGCTGCCCAGAGCTGCTGCTAGTTGCGTATTCCTTTGCTATATTCACTAGAAGCTGCTTTGCTCGAACGGCGATTGTTGCGTCCCATACGTTGCTCTGAAAATGGGCAAGTCGAATTGCAGGATGAAGGACTGAAGGAATTTTGAACTTGCTGCTCACGGACTGAGCTCAGAACACATACCTGCTCCGAGTAATGCGTAGTCGCCAATCAGTGCCTTCTCGATGTACTTCGTGGCGATTTGTGCACCAGCCCTTAATGCATTGGCCATACCGTGAGGCGCGGACTCGTATTCCGTTGCCATTGCTGTTAATTTCGTCTCCATTAACTTGTAGAGTGGAAGGACTTTCGAAATCGTCGGCACATTCTTCTTCGAGAACTCCAAAGTCACCAACTCGAGGACCTGCCCCGAGTCTTAGCCTCCATACAGCGCTGATAACAGTGAGTACGTACCCCCAAGGCTGCGATGAGCTTCTTGACAAATGTCCAATCATCTCCCGACATCTCCCAATTTCGTTTTTTGGCCAACGCGGCCGTGCGAGCCTTTCCCTGCAGCCCATCGGCCAATTTATCGACGAATGCATCAAAGCCCTGAACGCCCCGTTAGACTTGGCAGTGCCATGAGATAGAACATACCAATTGCAAGGTAAATGCCCGATTGAGCTCGGCCAGTGTAGTGTTCCATCGGATCGGCATCCCACGCATGAAAACCAGATGTCGATCCTTCTTAGGAACCTTGCGCCGAATGAGTTTTCGAGCAATCTTGCGTCGCTGCGGAGAGCGTAAGATGTGGACGCAAACAGCGTGCACCTGCTGAGGAGTCAGTATAGCGCCTCTGAGAATGGAGAGAGAACGGACCTTGGTCACCGGCGTCCAGACTTTCTTCTTCGACTTGCGCTTTCCTCCCTTGGTCGCTGTTTTCGTTGTTTTCTTGGTGGTAAGGCCGTCATCTGATGCTTCATCGACATCGGCCCATTCGTCATCTGTCTCGCTATCGCTGTCGCCACTGTTCGACGTGTCCGAGTATTGGTCAGGTGCATCGATCTCGATGTCGGAGCCGGAACCAGACTCGTTGGACACAGCTGCAGTCTTGTTCGCACCCTTTTTGCCCTCCGATTTCGCTTCTGCCTTCATCAGGGCCGTGTCTTCAGCAACGAGTGGATCCGTCTCTGGCGTGTAGACCAAAGGAAACTTGCGGTTCTGCTCATAGAGATCGACTTCCTCAGCCGCAGGAGTGAGGCCAAGCGAGCTGGTTATCTTTCTGGAACCGTATTATGAAGAAACCCACGCAACCTCATGATGACGACGTACTGGGCAATGAGGTTCGTAACATGTGCTGCACACCCTATTTGGATGTTCCGCGGTTGTTGCCCAATCGCTTTCGCGCACTTTCGCGAGAGGTAACGATTCAGCGGCCCGTTATTAGACGCATTGTCGGCCGCACTTGCCACTATCCCCGTGTCAGCTTAGATTGAAGAAAATGAATCATCCGTACTGAGTCGTCCAGCGATACTCCGCCTTTTGAGTTTCTTGTAGATTAACTTCGAAACACCATGGCCAGTGTGGTCCGCATCGAGCGGAATTAGATCGAGGGGATAGTCGCGAAGTTTCCACTCGTCATCGATGAAGAAAACGACCGTCCCGCAGAAGGAGTGGACCATGTTTTTTGTTGTTACAATGTCGCTCGCAATACTGAATTTCGATCCATTTGTCTGTTGGATATCAGCACGCATTGTATGACAAGAGAGAACGAGCCTACCTGTAGTATCCGCGTCAACTTCTTGTCTACTTCACGATGCAGTATATCGATGTCTCGTCGCACGGTTTGGTGAGAGAGGGACGGAGTAATATGTCGAGGGACAATATGGTTGAGAAGTCGTAGGGTGCCACCTCCTTCAGCGACACAGAATGACAAGTCATCTTCGACGATTGCTTCGACGAGGTGTTGGCGATAGGAGCGGTTGGTTATTGTTTTGGCTGGGTTTTCGATGCCACGCTGGACAAATTGACCCATCGCGGCTTGCTGTCTTTCGAGCGGTGTCAGCGATTCGCTAGCAGGCAACGGCGGTAACCCCTGCGTTGCTCGTTCCATCTCTGCCTTGTATCGCTCGAAGGATTGATCTTCGGGTCGGTTGCGACAGTTTTCTGCATGGGAAATGAAGTTGCTGGCGACACCAAGCTTGAGCGTTTCTTTGTCGAAGTCGTTGAGACCGGGAGTTCGTGTAGTTGTTCGGAATTTACTGTCCAGAGGTTATTTGGGTATAGTGTAGCACGAACAACGACTCACTTGCAGTGGCGACAGTTAGCCTTCCATATCGCAGCCTTCTCTGTAGTTCCCTTCACCGTTTTGTCCGTCGCGCGGGGCTTCTTGAATTGAGACAGCGCCCATTTTGCCTTCGCACTCAATCTCGCTGGTCCTTCGTCTTCGTCGTCCTCTCCACCACTCTCGGAAGAGCTTTCCGAGCTCTGAGACGACTCCCGTTGCTTCTTGCGAGCTGCCTTTTCCCTCGCTTCCTTCTCCCCCTTCTTGAAACGATGCTGACGTTCAGTGGGCTGGCAGGACAGTTAAATGGGATCTACATTCTGTTAGAGACTTCACGCACCGTCGCAGGCACTTTGTCGTGACTCTTTGCCTTCTTTTTCGCCGTCTTCGGGTCTGACATCTCCGCAGGCTATACGAGCGATGAGAGCAACAGCAACAGTCGCAAAAACACCCACCTCGTCAATCTCCATCAAGTCTGAACCATTATCCGAGTCTGTCGCGACCCGTTTTCGCTTCGATCCTTTCTAACGGAACATCAGTAAAAGGAGAGGTGGGGAGACAAGCACGCACCGCAACATTTTTTCCGCCCTTAGCCTTTCCTTCCCCGTCTTCCTTCAAGCTGCGGGGCAGAACAGGTGAGCAAGAGATCTCGGGATGTCCTGGTACTCACGCGCTTTCGACAAGGGTAACCAGCTGTTGGATGCGAAGCTGAATCAGCACCTTCTCGTCTTCGGAAGCGATTCCAGCATAGTGCTTCGCCCATGCATGTGCCAGCGACAACCCATATTTCCCCCGTGACACTAGCTGCAACCGCTCCGACGGCTCCTGACCTGCTCTGACCTGGAATACACGCTCCCATGGCTTGTTGAAGGTTGCGTAGATTCCGTCGGGTCCTGTGGGATACTCGGGCTCCGGATCGTCCTCGTTCCCGGACAGCTTCGGTGTGAGATACTTGGCTACTGGGCCATCGCGGCGACCAGCTCGGAATGCGGCAGGCAGTGCTTCGATCGCATCTGCCAGCTTTTGAAGGTCGTCTGCCACTGGATCTGCCGGAGAAGCCATGGTCCTTGCCGCAGTGGTGGGAGAGGAAGAAAAAAAGTGACACCTGTCATCATGACATTTCCAAATTTGGTCGGTGAATCAACGGATCTACCGACCACAGTATCACGATATATCGCGATACGCTGGCGGCGTATCGTAATCTATTGATATCATATCGTACTCATATCACCATTTATCTATATCGCGGGCAGCCTCCGGAGCCATATCATATTGACCGTATCGACGATATATCCAAAATATATTTCGGTGTATCGTATCTTTGGACAGCACTAACCAGCGTCGACAGTGGGCAGTGGGAGCCCATATCCCACCGACTAGCCTTGCTAGTCAATATCCTCTCCAATGTGGCGGTCTTAACGATATCGGCTGGCTTTCTTGCGTGGGACTCGCCGCGCAGCTCGTTATTCACCACATCAATCGACCGATTCATTCGCGGCCAAGCCGCCACTCGAACTCTGCGCCAGCTCGAAGTCAGCGACTTCTCCCAAATCCCGGCCTCTTTCCTGGAGCGCATCCTCACTGCCTGCCCGACGGTGTCCATCCATGGTCTCCGTCGACTTGCGCTTAGTGACGAGATGAGCTTGGGTATAGTAGACAGAATAGACGCCACTGGCCTCCCGACTGTGCCGACTCAAAGCTTCGATGTTCGAAATCAACCATCCAGCAGTACATCAGTTTATTCTTCCCCACATCAAGTACCTGCGCACCCTCGTCCTCACCGGTGGTACTGGTCCCAGCGGCCTCGGGCAAAATCAGTCGCTCATAACTTCCCAGCTACACGACCTCTGTTATGCTGCTAGCGCAACATTGACATGTCTGTCGATGGTGCTTCCTGGTAGGCAGCGAACACTTGGTCTGGGCCATATGCTGACGATGTTACGATAAAGAACAGAAATACGACTACCATCTTCCCCACCTCCCACACCTGCATTACCTTCAGGTCAACTTTGAAAATCTTTCTAGCGACATTGACCGCGAACGCCGAATGCCTACAATCTGGTTGACGCCGCCCCTCAGACTCGTGGCGCTGCTCTCCACTTTGCTGGTCGATGGTGCATTCCGACCGGGGCCTCAAGATTCTCGACTATCATGCTGGCGCGGAGTGGCGGGAAAATGAGGTGGAGATTTGATTAAGGGCTACTATGAACGCCGGGACGGTCCCAGAAAGTCTAAGTATCATCATTATCATTTCTGCAGTAAATTTAGTTGTATGCAACCCAATGAACCTTAGGATGGCATCCAGAGCACAAGATTTAAGAATTTCTTTCTCGTCCGATCTCGTCGAGACGAATTTTTGATCCGAGTGGCGCATCAACCCAGCTTGGCTCCCGCCCCCATCTCTTTCTGCCTCCGAACGCAATGCGACTGTGGACACGTCGGATGGGCGACGGTGGGACGGGGTCAGCGACTGTTCGAACCAGTGGGGGATTCGGAAGGAAAAGTGGCCGAAAGAAGACCGCCAGCCCCCCAGACACCGTCGACCATTAGTGCGTCTCAATCTCCTCTGCCTTGCACACTCTTACCGATTCTTCTGCAGTTAAGGGCATTGTCAGGAGGAAGGTGACCACAGCCGAACTCAACACCATAGGTGTTCGCTGTTCTGTCGAGAAAGGCAGTCGTATGCAGGGGATGGCAGAGTAAGCTAGCGCTCTCGTCAGCACCAACCAGTCTGCAATGTCTGGCTCATTTCTGCGCAGCTCCCTGTCAATGGATCGAGTACATTGCCGGCCTTGGGCTTATAATTCTCCCCACCTCCCCGCGCCGCAAACCGGAGAACAGGAGCCATATCGACTTGAAGAACCGGAGTCCGCTCATGATCAAGCAGTCGTCGTCGTCTTCGAGACCAACAACCATTGGTCCCATAACCCATGCTTCCCCATATCATCCCACCGCCAACATTTCCGCCTCATCCACCTTGTGTCTTAACGCTCAGCTATACCCCCGACTGTATCCCGCCCCAGACCCTATTGCGAAGGGGAGAATATGTCTTCGCTTTTGGTGGCGTCGGTACAAACGCAAGATTGGGTTTCGGGCGTTGGTGCGAGCCAGCATGCGTTCCGCATCTACTTGATTACTGCATGCGCAATGGGCCGGTTGCTCGTGGTCGGGCTGACGCTGCTGGTAGCGCTCATTATTCTTCCGACCAAGCGATTCTCAATCCAACCCATCAGCAAACTCAGCTTGCGAAACTGGCCGGCACTGTCATCGTTTGCGGCGGCTCGTTTTCGTCAAGGAAGACACATCCCACCTACTGGCTGGCGCTGCTTTCCCTTGAGTATTGAGTCTAATTCACTCGTATGTGTATCTCCCCCTGCATCTCTGTCTCCTGTTGACACAGTCCCAGCGGAGAAAATGTCTTTCACGTTTTGTCACGCGTCTCGTGATCGTGACACGCTCAGCCTGACGACTTCGTCCTCTGCCTCCTGCACCACCGAATCCACATCCGCTGTGCGACCTTTCGTTTATCCAATCATCAGCCAGTCCACAACTCAGATATCAACCACATTCGAAAATGGGGGACCATGCTCTCGTTGTGGATGTCATTTTGGGCTTCGAACTCGAATTTCTCGAGGCGCAATGATTGTATGGCCACTGAAAGTGCCCCTCTATGGTCGTATACGTTCCTGGAAAATTCTCCGCCGTTGCTCTGCTCTCTCTGCGAGGCTTTGACCTACTCGACCTTCGGGGGAGACCGCGCCAGCAAGCTCCCGTCTTGTCGCTGCCAGCTATGTATTGTGGGCCCATTTACTGCACTATTCCTCTTTGTAAGTCACTTTCGCAGTCTCTCCTGGCCCAGGCTGATGTCAATTCCAAGGATCTCGTTCAGTGGGCCCTCGGCTTCCCACTTCAGTACCGCCGAGCCGAAGGGGTTCGGCGCACCAAGTCTCCTTGTGTCTCCGTGGCACTAGGAGAAAACAAGACCGACAAGTCTAGCCCAGCACGATGACCCTTCCGCCCGTCGTATCGTGCTATCTGCTGCCGCGCCACAGGACATCAATGCTCCCCTGTTCCAAGGCGTAGTTCCTGGCTTCCTCCTCCACTACAAATCAACCACCGCCATGCTACTGGAGCTCCGCCTTACTTGGGTTCCACTCCGTCTTTACGTCACGTGACGCCGTCAAGGCGGGCGATATTCATGTGTCCTTCCACACTCGCATATGGCTCCCTCGACTTGACCTCCGTATACAATTACACCTCCTCATCGCACAACATTAGTTTCAATCCGTCTTATTCGCACAAAGGTCGTCGTTGGGCTCGTTCTTGCGGTTGGCTCGTCAAAGAGCAAATGCGCCTTTTGCTCGTTGATATGCGTCCAGCAGACCAGCGGAAGTGTATCGTTGGGTCTGAATTCTTATATTTGGACGCCGCCTCAATGGATGCGTTTCAAACGGGTGGAAAACTAACCCTTTCCTCGACTCCACAAATTCCTCTGTTGCTCCAGCGGTGTCGATGAAGAAACTGGGCTTCAGCGCCGACAGCTCCTCCTTTACGCTGAAATGCATTCTCCTGGCTGCGGCCATGAAACCGAAGATATTCTATCTCCATCTCAGGGTTATTAATAAAATGGCGAGTCGCACTGGTCGCTTCTACGACTGAAAATTTACTATCTTGTAGGGTTTTCGCTCAAGCGGGAACAAGACAGCACCTTCTCATCGATTGAACACAGTGAGCAGTGGGCCAGAGTTGATGTAAAACAGAGTGACTACACGAGTGATTGCTCACTGCTGAACGGAGTGTGAGTTGCTTGAGGATAAGAAACCAGCGTGACCGTGTGACCGTAAGCAGGTGCCTATGTGACAGCCGTCCAGCAGGGTTGATTCTCACCAGAATGCCGCATCCCCTCACAACTCTTCACCTGCAACGCCTTGATGGGCTTTCACGTCCATATCGGGTACACCATATATCATGCTTTCTTGTGTCCGAATGACAGTCCGATAGGAAATCGCGCTCACAGCAAGCCGTCATGACTGTTCCATAGCCGAATACGAAAAGTTCATACGAGTATGGACCACTGGAGATAGAGCTCTGCGCTCTCGCTTGCTCCCCGTACTCTTCGTCACTCTAGACCCTACGCGCATACCTCAAGCTTCCGAACTCGAGGCCGCCTCTCTGCCGACAACGAAGAACTACGTTTACCGCGTGACGAGGAGTCTCAATCTGCTGGAATCGCTAGCTGAACGTGAAGATCCGCTACCAAACGAGACTATCGATATCCTTCCCTTCATCGTACAATGGGTGGCGTTTATCCATCGGTTTCATCATCTCCTCAAATTGGTGGCCGTCGATAGCAGGGGGGGAATTGCAATTTCTCGGCCGAAATTCCTCGTCTTCTTCATGCAGCTTTGCCGCAAGCTTGAGGACAAGTGGACCGTAGGGGGGCTATTCTGGCGTTGCAAATGCACAGACACCATCCGATGTATTTTGGGCCACCTCCGGATTCTTTACGCTGTTGGTTCATGCATGGGCTCAAGCCCTCTCCGATTCCCTCGATCCCTATAAGGTTGATTTCAATTTACTCGGCCAATGCGTATTCTTCATGCCGCGCTCTCTCTCTCGATTTCAGCTTGACGAGATGATCGATGCTGCTGGCGGAACTATTGATAGTTTGCTCATTCTACTGAAAAAGCATTTAACAAAGCTGGAGTCGGTTCCTCTCCCAAACCGTAACCGTCATGGGCGCTACGTGGAACCGCTTTTAAAGTATCCAGCGGTGGTTATCTTGATCGCAAATCAGCTCATCACAAGTGAAGAACCGCTGGACACTACGGTGGCAGATACTCTCCTGAAACACGGTATGTTTCGGCAGATATGCCAAGTATTAACCACGGCAGTTGACCCGCAGAACGCGGCCTCGCAACCTCAGCATCTGGTTCATTCCGATTGGCGCCAACTAGTTCATGGTGCTATCACCCTAACGACGCTCACCCTCGACAGTGGTGTCCGTGCTGTGCGCAAGATCTTGCGTCATAACCCGGATCTGCTTCTAAGGATTTTCGAAACTGCCAAGTTTCTACCAGACGAAGAGCTATTCAGTAACCTGAGTACATTACTCTGGTCTCTGCACTCATGCGTCCTACACCCACCAATTCTTCCTCTTCTCGCTACTTTAATCCACACGATTGAAAACTCCCCTACTGCCAGCGAAAGTGTCAAGGTCTTGAATGACAAACAATCACAAATCTCCCCGCGCTGGGTTCGGTTCAAACAAGACGTACATCATCAAGGCCTACTCCTGCTCAAGTTAAGACAAGACGGCGCTAGCGCCCAACTTTGCGCATGCGACAACCCACCCGTGAGTTCAGTGACATTCGGTGTCCGACGGTCATGATGATGCCGCCGCATAGTGTAGTCGCATCGATAAAACTGCCAATTTCCAGAAATGCGCCGGCTGTTCTTCCCGCCTGTATTGCTCTCGAATGTGCCAAAGGACCGATTGGCGCCAGGGAAACCATCGACTGACATGTGCCTCCGCGAAGGATCAATACACAAGTAAGTATGGAAAGGCTTTGCAATTTTCCTTACTCAACTCATTGTTACCGTACAGGAATACGCTCCACATTTACCAAGTTCCAGCTTGCTTTCCTCCGCCTCTCATTACACACCCTCTATATGCAAAATATAACCGAATTTTACTGCTATCATGATGGTATCTCCGTCCGTGTGGACGCGGCCCAAAAACGGGCCGACGACAACTTAGACCCTCGCCCAGTCGAAATTTTTATTGCCAGATATGAAAACGGGGTTCCAAATCCACACCCGAACGATCTCGTCCTCTTCCACGATTCTACTTTGCTGCCTGTCCTCCGCAGTCAACTCCTGCAAGACATCCCAACGTTGGATGACTGGATTGATCGAGCGCGGCGAAGCAATGGGCGAATGGTCCTCCATGTAATGATGTTTCCTCAGGGAATGGATACCCACACGTTGATATTTCCGCTTCGGACGAACATGTCGTTCCTGGGAGACGCCGCTTGGAGAGTTGCCCGAGAGTTGGGTGCCGGTGGGGGGACTTGGAGCCAGACCGACGATTACTTGCATCAAGTCTCACACAGATTCCAGGCCAGCAAACTTCCGAGAAAGTATTTGGCCATTCACCAGTGATCGACTCAGAGCACATGTAACGGAGAGAATCAGTACTTACAGCTACAGGCAGGAAGGACAATGTACATACCATCTGCAATGAGCTAACATAGCCGTATAAGTATCATCATCGAATAGGGTCAATTAGCACAGAAGATTGAAAACGACGCTACTTTTTATGTACTTGTAAATATCTTCGGGTTCGGGTGCAAAGCGGGAATACATGGACGGACGCATCCTAACTTAAACCCGGAGTATAATTCAGTGAGGAAGCTTCATTCGTAGTAGAGGACATTGCCGCTGTGAGGCGGAGTCAAGGAAATGCCTTTGGTTGTCTTCCGGGTGCTGAGCAGAGATTCCATCCTTCCATTGCTCCCAGAAGAGTGATGTGGCATTTCATAATAGCGGTAGACAGCTAGAAGTGCAGTCTCGTCGTTCTGGACTCGCATTGACAAGCGAAAGGACATTTGGTTGTTTATGAGCCAGGCTCGAAAATTAGCCCAACGAGGAGCTTTCCACAGGTAACCCGGCTTGAAACTAATGTTTTGAAATGATATGGTCCCATCGCATATGTAGGTCGGGTCAATAGAGTCGTATCTATCGCCGATGGGGACTCGGAAGTCGCGCCCCTCGGCAGCGTGACGTGACATTCGTGACTGCGGAAGACGATGAAAAGTGGCGTTTCAGGGATGAAAGAGTTGCGGTTATGGTTTTCGAATGCGAGGAAGGATGACTCGGAAAAGGGGGTGTCGAGGTCCTATGGCGGCAGGCGCGGCTGGCGGTAGACACTAATTTGCATGATACAACGGGTGGGAGGGGATTCCTGGGCCAGACTTGAATTATCGAATATGCTGTTTTGAGGCACCACGAAGACGCTACAGGTATCGGTAGGCCCCAAGGATTAGGTGGGACTGAAGCTGGAGAGTCGAGACCATGTCTTGAGCAAGAAGTAGTGATATTCTGCAAATTGATATCAACGGGAGCCAAGAGAAACGGGAAAAAGCAGTTACCAAAGGACCCAACGCGAAAAAGACACTTAGAACAGCTGACAGTGGCAACAGAGGAGTTACATGGCGGCGATTCCCCTCGAGCAGGTCAAAGCCTCGCAGAAGAGCTGGGAAAGCTGCCGAGAATTTCCATCGCATGTATACAACCACCATGGAGCACTTGCAGTGATCAAATGGTGGCAAGGTCCCCCGAG